AAAAATCCCTGAATTTAAGCAAATTTTAAAAGAAAATAATATTGATATTAGTAATGTTATCGTCCATGGTTCTTATTTAATTAATTTAGCAAATACTATTAAGAAAGATACATTTAATTTTTCCGTGAAATTTTTGCAAGAAGAAATCCAAAGAATGCAAAAAATTGGCTTAAAGACTTTGATTTTACACCCTGGAAGTTATTTAACCGCCACTGAAGAAGAAGGATTAACTCAAATCGCCCAAGGGCTTAATTTAGTTTTGACGGAAAATTCAGAAATCAAAATAGCCTTAGAAACTATGTCAGGAAAAGGTAAAGAACTAGGAACTACTTTCGAGCAATTGAAATTCATTATTGACAAAGTTAATTTCAAAGGAAAAATTGGCGTTTGTTGAGATACTTGTCATTTATATAGTGCCGGTTATGATATTAAAAATAATTTAGAACAAGCAATTGAAGAATTTGACAGAGTAATTGGTTTAGAAAAATTGTGAGTCATTCATATTAATGATAGTTTACATGAATTAGGAGCCAAAAAAGACCGCCATGAAAATATTGGCTATGGGAAAATTGATCTGCCAGCCTTAAAAAAAATAGTTCATCATCAAAAATTAGACGGGGTAATCAAATTATTAGAAACACCACGAAGTAAAGAGTATTATCGAGAAGAAATAAAGATATTGAAAGAAAACTAATAAAACACTAAATTTTACAGTTATATTTTTGACAAAGTGATTCTCGGCTAACTTTGCCGCTTACTAAACTTTTAATTGGCTCGTAGGTCTTTCGATGGAGAGAACAAATTCCGTGGCTAAAAATTGCTTGTAAATGGGTAGGATTAGGGTAACCCTTGTTGTTTTCTCAATCATATTGAGGATATTTTTTGTGTAAATTTTTCATAATCGCATCACGAGTAACTTTGGCAATAATGGAAGCTGCGGCAATATTAATTGATTTACGATCACCGCCAATAATGCTTTGGGTTGGAATATCGAAAATTACTATTTTTTCTTTCCCATCCACTAAACACAATTCAGGTCTATTTTTTAATTTTAAAATGGCTTCAACCATGGCTTCTTTGGTGGCTTGTAAAGGATTTTTGTTTTCTACTTCTCGGGGGCTTTTAATTATTACACTATATTCCAAAGCGTTTTTTCTAATAATTCCGTAAGCTCTATTTCTTTGTCAAGGCTTTAAAATTTTTGAATCCTGAATCAATGGAGAACGAAAATTAACTGGCAAGATAACTGCTGCCACGACAATTGGACCAGCTAGTGCTCCACGACCGGCTTCATCCACTCCGGCAATTAATCTATGCTCTTTTCAAAGATTTACTTCAAAATCAAGATCTATTTTAACCATTATTATTTTTTTACCTAGCCTAGCCAAGAATGCCCTCAATCTTCTACAGTTGGGGATGAATTGGCTAAAATTTCCATATAGAACTTTTTAATTGTTTTCTAAACTAGCCAGTCCAAAAGCATTAGACACGCCTTGGATTGGCTAATTGTGTGAATGATTGCTAAAAATTAAATATGGATGAAAACAACCACCTAAAAGAAAAAACTTTTATTATGATTAAACCAGATGGGGTAGAAAGGGGACTAATTGGAGAAGTCATTCGTCGTTTTGAGAAAAAAGGATTTCAAATTACGGCTTGCCAGATGCTTACTGCTAACCGTCAATTGTTAGAAGAACATTATTCTGAGTTAAAAGATAAATTTTTTTTTTCTGGATTAATTAAATTCATGCTTTCGGGACCAGTAGTTGCCATGGTCTGGCAGGGAAGAGGAATTATTGCTTATGCAAGAAAACTTTTGGGAGAAACTGATCCATTAAATTCTCTACCAGGAACTATTCGTGGTGATTGAGGAATAGATATTGGACGAAATATATGTCATGCTTCGGACAGCCTAAAAAGTTCCCAAAAAGAAATTGCTCTCTGGTTTCCAAAAGACAAAGGGATTGTTAATTATCAGCGAAAATCTATTGATAAATTGCTCTATGAGTAAAAAACACGGTGTCATAGTAAACTAGTTTCTTATTACCAAATTTGGATGGTTATTACAAAACAACAACACAAGCCTTTAAGGAAAAATTTAGTAAAGCATTCAGTAAAAATATTAATAATGAATAACACTTGTTTTGCTAAATTTTCTGCTAAGTCTGCGCCTATAGTTCAGCGGACAGAATGTCTGACTTCGGATCAGAAGGTCGGGGGTTCGAATCCTCCTAGGCGTACCAAATTATAATAAAACTTATTTATAATGAGTAATAACACCACTTACCAATTGATTAAAAACTTGGCTGAAAGAGAAAAAATTGAAGAAAGCCAAGTCGTTGAACTTTTTATTTCGGCTATCCAAGAAATCTATCAGCAAAAATCAACCGAACCAAAAGCGTTAAGAGTAATTTTTGATGAAGAGGAAAAACAATTTTTAGCTTATCAGATTTACCGAATTGTGGAAGAAGTTAAAGACCCAAACCAAGAAATTACTGCTGAAAATGAATTACTTCAAAATAAAAAAGCTAAAATTCAGGACAATTGCTTACTTTTACCATTGGAGGACTTGAAAAAAATTGCCAGTTATGAAGAAATTTTGCGACAGTTTCGCCTTTCTTTGCAAAAAAGCCAACAAGGAAAGTGATACAAGGAATTTTTGCCGCTACAAGGAAAAATTATCGAAGGAACAGTCCGTGAAGTTCATTCTCGTTATTGTTTAGTAAATTTGCTGGGAAGTGAAGGAACTGGTTATTGAAGTAAAGATGAATGGATATCTTGAGAAACTCCCAAAGTAGGTCAACAAAGAAGATTTTTAGTTAAGGAAGTAAAAAAAGATGGTGAATATGCCATCAATTTAGTTCGTCGGGACGAAGAATTTTTGCGCAAACTATTAGAAATTGAAATTCCCGAAATCAAGCAAAAAAGAATAATTGTCCAAGACATTTTACGTCAACCGGGAGTAATTAGTAAAATAATTGTGCGCAGTAAAGATCCAGAAATCAGCCCATTAGGCTCTTGTATCGGAAAAGGAAGTAATCGAAGCAAAAACATTCAGCAAGAAATGGAAAGAGAAAGAATTGACTTTGTCAAATGAAGTGAAAACCAAAGTGAACTGCTTACCAATCTCCTTTTGCCAGTAAATGTTCTCTACGTTTGTAAACTGCTAGAAAAAAAAGAATTAGCAGTCGTTATTCCCCCAGAACAAAAGAGTTTGAGTTTAACTCCCGAAGGAAAAGTGATTCAATTAATTGAAAATTATCTAAAAATTAAAATTCTCATTCAAACTCCCGAAGAAATGGAAAAAAAAAGTGCTATCATTCTTTGAAGTGCCGACCAAATCAATTTACCAGAGAGGAATAAAGATTATTCAGAAAAATTACAATATGGATCAGGTTAACAGCCAACTATTATTTGAGTTGCTGCAAAAAAAATTGTCTGCTAAAAATTGGCAAGAAGTAAGAAATAGAACTTTTTTTTATACCGGAAATTTAAAATTAAATGATTTGAGCGAAGCCTTGCGAGTACCAATTAAGCAAATTATCACTTTTTTTTGAGACCAAGGAATAACTATTAGCCAAGAGCAAAATATCCCCCCAAAATTAATTGAAAATTACTGCCAGAGCCGAGGAATAAAAGCCATAAATCAAAAAGACTCTTCTTTTAATTCAATTATTGAAGAATACTATTGCCAAATTAACCATTCAGGAGAATTAATTTCGCGTCCTCCGGTGGTTAGCGTAATGGGACACGTTGACCATGGTAAAACTACTTTTTTAGATACTATTCGTAGCAGCCGAGTTCAAAAAGAAGAAAAAGGAGGCATTACCCAAAAAATCAGCATTTATCAAGTAAATTTTCAAGAAAAGAAAATAACTTTTTGCGATACTCCCGGACACAGCGATTTTATTAAAATGCGTCAACGTGGAATTTCTTTAACTGACTTAGTGATATTAATAATTGACGCCAAAGAAGGCATAATGTCCCAAACTAGAGAAATTATTAATTATCTCCACGAATATAAATTACCGATAATTGTCTTTCTTAACCACAAAAAACCTGCTGAAACAGACAATGAAGCAAATTTAACCAAGCTAAAATCCCAATTACAAGAACAAGGCTTAACTCCCATGGAATGAGGCGGTGATACTTTAATTATTTCCGGCAATGCTCGAGAAAAAAAAGATACTGACCAAGTTTGCGAAAACATTCTCTTAATGAGTGAAATTCATGAATGAAAAGCTAATCTACGATTGCCAGCTTATGGCCTAGTCATTGACAGTAAAATAAGCACAAAATTAGGAAAAATTACTACAATTCTGGTTCAGAACGGCACTTTGCGGATAAAAGAATTGCTTCTTATTCATGGAGAAATGGGAAAAATCAAAAGGATAGTTGATTTCCAAGAAAAAAATATTAATCAAGCCCTTCCTGGTGATCCAGTACAAGTAATTGGTCTGGACTTTCTCGCTGAAGCCGGAGAAAAGTTTTTAACTATCCCAGACGACAAATTTGGCAAAAAAATCAGTAAATTGTTAATTGATTATCACGGAGAAAAAGGAAGTGCTGATTTTTCCAGCCAGCCAGTGAATTGGCTGAATCCAACCACCGAAGAGCAAAAAATTATTAATTTATTAGTAATTGCCGATACTCAAGCTTCTTTGGAGGCTCTTGCTGATTTAGTTAAAAACCAAGCCTCTGGCGAACTATCTTTTCAAATTGTTGCCAGTTCGGTCGGCAATATTCACGACCAATTAATTAACTTAGCGAAAATTACTCGGGGTTATTTGCTTATTTTCAATTTAAAATTAACTAAAGAAATTCGCCAAAAATTTAAAGAAAACCAACTCAAATGATTCCAAAGCGATATTATTTACGAAATAGAAGAAAAACTTGAAAAATTAATCCAGCGAACCAAAGAAAAAAAGCAAGTAGAAAAAATCTTAGGAACTGCTGAAGTAAAACAAGTATTTTATTTTTCCAAGGTCGGTAACATTGCTGGTTGTCAAGTGGCTGATGGAATAATTGAACGTAATAATTTAGTTCATGTTTCTCGTCAAGGTCAAAGAATTTTCTCCGGAAAAATAAAAAGTTTAGAAAGTGAAAAACTCAAAATTAATGAAGCAAGAAGAGGTCAAGAATGCGGAATAGTATTAGAAAATTTTGATGATTTTCAAGAAAAAGACCAAATTATTAGTTATCGCTGGGAGGAAGAAGATGTCGATTAAAATTAATTTTCACCAAGCCAGGTTAGAAAGTTCGTATACCAAGGAAATTTCTCTTATTTTACAAAAACTAGCCCAGCAAGAAGAATTACCCTTTTTTTCCGTTGCTTATTGTTCTTTAAGCACCAAAGCCGAAAATTTAAAAGTTTACTTAGTTTTTGCTAATGAAGAAGACCAAAACTATCTTAAAATTATTAATAAAAATTACTTGCCATCCATCAAAAGGCAACTGGCAAAGTCAAAAAAATTTGCTCGTTTGCCAAAAATAACTTTTCTGCTCGACCAGAAACTAAAAAAAATTGATGACTTGGAAAAAATCATCCAAAAAATCAAATAATGGAACAACAAAAATACGCTCAACTTTCAGAAACTAACCCAGTTTTATACACAATTGGAGTTATTTCTTTTATACTTATTTTCCTTTTTTTAGCTGGCTTTTTAAACTTTATTTCCACCCTTTACTCTGATATCGACATTTCTAAAATTGATTTGTCTCGAGTTAGCCGAAGAAAGAAAAAAATCAAAATGGTTATTTATATTATTAAAAACAATTATTTTCTTTTTGTAGGAACCTCCATTTTGTCCGTAATTTTAAACATTATTAACACCCGAATGCTAACTGACTTTGGATTATTAAATAAATATGTTGAAATATTCTTAATTTTCCTTTTTGTTATAATTACTGAACTTTTAGTTCGTTATTTTGCTGAACGAGAATTTGCTAAAAAACGAACGCTTAGTCCTTTCTTGCTTAATTCAGCATACGTAATTACCCGAATTGTGGCTTGACCTTTACGTCGGATAATTAAAGAAAAAAAACTCTCTCCTTATCGTGAACAAGACCTCATCCGTCTGGTAGGGAATCTAGAAGCCGAAAACGTTCTTGAAGCCCAAGAAGTTCGCTTATTACGAGCTGCTTTTAATTTTGATGAAGAAACAGTTGAAAAACACTTCAAACTTCGTAAAAAAGTGATTTTGCTTTCCACCGACATGACTTTTAAGGAAATTCTACAAATTTACTACAAATATCATTATACTCGCTACCCTGTCCTTTCTGAAGAGCGAAAATTAGTCGGTATTTTAAATTTTAAAACACTTAATTTAGAAATGAAAGATAAAAATGGCGATTGACGAGAATTTATTGAAAAAAAAATAAACTATTTAGATTTGAATACCAAATTAAATACCGCTTTTGAGACCTGTCAAAAATCTTGTCAACATTTAGCCATTGTGGTTGATAAACAAAAAAAATTTATTGGTATTATTACTTTGGAGGACATTTTAGAAAGTTTGGTCGGCAAAATTGAGGATGAAAATGAAGTTTCTGCTAAACATTAAATAAATTGGCAACAATCAAATCAAGCAAAGCTTATAAAAAATATAATAATTCAGGCATTTTATTAAACATTGTTTTTGTATAAATTATATAATTTTTCTAGGCTTTCATCATAATTTAGGTTAGTTGTATCAATTTTCCAACCAATTGCTTCGGCAGTTGAAATGTTGGCTTGATCACGTCGATCTCTTTCTTTCAAATCCTTTTCTACTTCAGCCAATGTTAATTTTTTATTTTCGTCTTGGAGCTGAAGGTATCTTCTTTTGGCTCTAGTTGCTAAATCAGCTGTTAAGAAAATTTTTATTTCTGCTTCAGGCAGAACTTTAAAAGTAATGTCCCTGCCACTAACTACAAATCCTTTATCTTTAACTAAACTTCTGATTAATTGGTAATTGATTAAACGCAATTCTTTAATTGGTGCATATTGGGAAGCCAGATTACCGATTTCTGGTTGGCTTAAAATGTTCTTTTGCCTTTTTAATTCTTGGAGGAAAAGTTCTGGATTTTTTGCCAGTTTTTCTTTTTGCTGCGAACAAACATTTATGACTTTCTCTTTTTCTCAATAATTTATGTTATTTTCATGGCACATTTTAGCAAAATAACGATAAAATAAACCGCTGTCAATAAAATGGTAGTTGATTTTTTGTGCTAGTTTTTTTCCTAAGGTTGTTTTTCCTGAACCGGCTGGACCATCAATCGCAATGTTAATTTTAGCCATTTATTTTAATTTTTACCACTTTTAATGGATCGAGGGTAGTAGGATGGTATTTGTTCGACCAAAAAGTATTAAGGAAGTGAGTACTTTTCCACAAATGAAAGTAAAAATTATTCATTATGAGTTTTAGTAAACTATACAAACTTGATAAAAATAAGAACTTAAAAGATGTGAAAGAAGAAAGTTTGGAAGGTCAAGAAAACGAATTAGTTAGAAATATTATTTTAAAAAATTTTCATAAACTTTTCGATTATCTAGAATTATTTAATGAGGGAAAGCCATTCTCCTTGCCTCATGGTCCTAAAAAAAGAATTCCTGATTCATTGGCTTTTTGTGAGAAGTTAGGAAAACGGCTATATATATTTGAATATAAGAGCAAAATAGACCGAAATATAATCGACCAAACTATAAAGTATCGCAATGCACTACAAGAAAATAATGATAGTGGTAATAATAATCTAAACCATTTACGGGATCATTGGATAAAAGCGGGGTGAACGACAAGAGACTTCAGGCATAAGGCTAAAATTATTTGTATTGCTCCGCAATTTGATGATGAAACCAGAGAAAGAGAAAGCAAACAAGAAGAAATTTATTTGATAGAAATGTCTATGTATAATCTAAAAAATGAAACATTAATTGAATTAAAAGGAAAGCATGAGGAGATAATAAATTTGTCAACAATAACAGATGAAACTGACAAAGAGCATTCAGATTTTAAGGAAACTGGGGAAATTTCTCTACTTTTATCATCTAAATACAAACCACGATTGACTGAGGAAGCCAAAAGATGAGTTTTGGAAATTGAAAAAAGGCTTCAAAATGAATTTGATTTAGTGCTAAAAATTACTGCAAAGGCTCGCTACTTCACCTTTTATACTAAAAATAATGATTATGTTTTGAGAATACCACTAAATCGACAAAAAATCATTAGAACTTTTTTTGATTTGTCCCCTGCTCAACAGGAAGAAAAGAAGATTATAAATAACTACTCATTAAAACCCAATTGATGATGAAGGAAAAACGATCATGAATACATAATAAAAGATGAGAAAAGTTTCAATAGTCTTTTTGACTTACTAAATGCTATACTTAAAAAAACTTAAATATAATTTTTTCGGAAGTAAAAAAAATTTTTTCAAAAAAAACAGAGCCTAAGTTGGTTTATTTGCCACTTCTTGCCAGTAAGTAAAGAAGTTATTTCAAAAGTTTTGAATAAATCCATAATAAGTGTTTTCTCCGCGGCTGATTTTGTCTAATTCAGTTTCTAAACTAGCAGTATATTTTTCATTAATTAAGGAAGAAAAGTTTGCCTGTAATCATTCATTTACTTTAGATCCCAGTTCGGTTGGGACAAAATGCTTTTGCTTTTCATTATTATACTCAACATATCCACGGTTAAGCAGAATTTTACTAAAGGTATTATAAGTTGACGGACGACCAATTCCTAATCTTTCTAATTCTTGAACTAAACTTCCTTCATTATAACGTTGAGGTTTGTTTTCTAAGTATTCTTTTACTTCAATTTTGTCTGCTTTCAAGGAGTTCAAATCAACTTTGGCTAAGAAAGAGATTTTTTTAACTTTGTAATTAGGCAAGTAATAATCAGGGTTGAGAATAAAAAATCCAGCAAAAGTAAGTACATTTTCATTGAGAGTAAAGTAATAACCATTATTAACAAAAGTATAAGTAGTTTTTTCAGTTTGGGCTGAACTCATTAAACTGGCTAAGGTGTGGTTGTAAATTAAATTATACAAGGCAAATTGTTCTGGAGTTAAACTATCTTTTACTTCGGCAGGATGTTGAGAAAAATAAGTAGGACGAATAGCTTCATGAGCGTCTTGGACATTTAAACTTTCTTTTTTTTGTTGGTGTTGAAGCGAAAATTGACAATATTCTTTGCCTCACTGTTTTTGAATGTATTGATAAGTTTGCTCCACAAATTGCTTGTTTAGACGACAAGAATCCGTTCGGGGATAAGTAATTAGTCCTGCTTGTTTGTTCTTGCTTTTTAAATGAATTCCTTCGTATAACTGTTGGGCTAATTTGGTAGTCTGAGCAATAGAAAATCCTAATTGAGATTTTGCTTCGTATAGCAAGAGAGAAGTAGTAAACGGGGCTTTGGGAATAATATATCTTTTTTCTTTTTCTTCCTTGATAAGGGAAAAAATAGGACCTAGTTGGGCTTTAACCTTTTCTGCTTCTTCCTTACTAGGATAAATTACTAGTTTTCCTTTTTCATCTTTTTGCCTTAGAGCATATTTTTCATTTTGGGTTTCGTAAATTCCTTGGAGAATATATTCTTTTTTTTTTTCAAATTCACGAATGGCAATTTCCCGGTCAACAATTAATTTTAGAACAACAGACTGAACTCTGCCAGCCGATAGGGCTTGAAGTTTTTTTTGTAAAAGCGGACTGAGGCAAAAGCCAATCATTCGATCTAAAACTTGGCGAGCATTTTGGGCTTCAACTAAACTTTGATTAAGTGGCAAGAGATTACTTAGAGCTTGTCGGATACTTTGTTGGGTGATTTCATAAAAAAGCAAACGCTTATATTGTTGGGGCTGTAATTGCAAAATTTTCACAATTTCTTGGGCAATTCCTTCTCCTTCCCGGTCCGGATCGGTGGCTAAAAGAATTAAAGTTGGTTTGTTTTTTTTTAAATAGTCTTGTCAAAATTTAACATTTTTGTTTTTTTCAGGCAAAAGTTCGTAGTGCGGAGTAAATTTAGTTAAGTCAACTCCTAAATTATAATAACCTCTTTTGGCTAGTTCCATCAAATGCCCACTAGTAGCAAAGATTTCATAATCATTTCCTAAAAAAGTTTTAATTGTTTTTTGCTTGGTAAAAGATTCCAGGAAAATCAAATACTTAGTCATAAAGTTTTTTTATGGCATTTTCTTAATTTTTGTCTGTATAATAAAAGCAATTTCACATAAAAAATCTTATATAGGTAAAATTATGAAAAAATCATCAAAATTTAATTTCAAATGATTAATATAGTTCTACTACTACATTGTTTTGCTTTTTGCCAAAAAATAAAAAGCAAGAAGGTTCACAAACATAAATACAGAGGGAGGGAGAGAGGAAATCAGCATTAAAAAACAAACCATTCTCGCCACAAGGATTATCATGATGAATTTGACAAATATGCTAAAATTAGTTATCCAAAAACAATTAAAAAGATACGAACCTTGGGGAAACAGAAAAGTAATTCATTTTCCTGAAATAGATGAAACTTTACCATCTTGGGTAATTATTAAGAGATTACATTATGTTTGTTGAGATTAAATTTTGCTTTATTCCTGTCTTTCTCACTTAAACCACCTCACTACTTTTTCGTCTTCTTTTTTAATTGTTTGATATTTGTTTTGGCATAGACCAAATAAAAGATTTAAAATTCCTTATAATTCATGTTTCGTCTTATCACTGATTTAAGCCCTCAAGGAGACCAAGAAAAAGCTATTCAACAACTAGTTCACGGTATCCAGGAAGGAAAAAAACAGCAAGTGCTTCTTGGAGCCACTGGAACCGGAAAAACTTTCACCATGGCTAATGTCATTAACCAGATCCAAAAATCAACTTTAATTCTCGCTCCCAACAAAACTTTGGCTCTCCAAATTTACCAAGAAATGCAAAACTTTTTCCCCC